ATCTTTAGAATTAGAAATGTTCCTATCATTCAGTTGAACATTCTCATTTTATAGGTAAGACATATGAGGTGTAATGTAGTTGGGGAATCAGAATATAGTGGAGAGAACGTAGGTTTGGATTTTGCTACCTCCATAAATAGGGGTGTATCATCAAATCCAAACCTCTAAAGTATGTTTAGTCATATGAGTATTTCTGGCATGTAGCATCACCTTTAAATAATGAGTATTGCAACAAAGAGTAAACACAAACAAACAGGAGGCATGATAGTAAAGGGCTAGACAATCAGCTGGGAATGATTATTTTTTTGAGAGGGGACTGGACATTCTAGTATAACTCTAACAAGACTCAGACTAATAACCAAGACATACACAGAATGTCTAGTACTAGTGGTAAAATAAATTTGGGAAAATGCTGTTTAGAAGTAAAAAATTGTCACTATTTTACAGATCTCTGTAATGGTATTTATGACAAGAAATGTATACCTTGCTTTCTAAACAAGAGGTTAGGAGGGGCGGTAAAAAGAAAAGATACAGACAGGAAAGAGATAAGAAGGGTTGATTAAATGTGAAATAGCAGCAACTGGCAGTAATTCCTAGGTGAAGGGCTAAGTTTAATTAAGAAACTGGAAGATGTTTTGTAAACTTTTATCAAGGGTCATTAGAAGCTTAGAGATCTGGATTCAACTAACAACACTTACTGAGAATTAACTACAAGGCAAGTACCATATGTTCAAATAAACTGTATCTTATAGTAATCTAATGCTTGGGAAGGACTGTATTTTAATTATTCTTCCAGGCTCCTCATTATTTATCCTGACAGGAGTAGGATACAAAAGTTTACCTATTTTGCTAGTTGCCTGGTGGCTCACATCTGTAATCCTACTCAGAAAGATGAGATCTAAGGAAGCCAGCCTGGTAGAAAAGTCCCAGGGACTCTTACCTCCAATTAACCAGCAAAACGCTGGAAGTAGAACTGTGACTCAAGTGGTAAAGGGCTATTCTTAAGCAAAAAAGCTCAGAGACAGCAACAGGTTTTGAGTTCAAGTCCCAGGATTGGCACAAAATAGCAAAAATATCAGATATTAACTGAGAGCAGGGGCAGATTCACACAGTCTTCCATAAGGCCACGAGTCATGTGAGAGAATGCAATAAATGCAATCTATATTCCAGAGTCACTTGGCCAAGGTAACACAAATTATCATAAATTTATAGTGGGACCCAAACATATCTACACTTAGCTAATTTGAGCTTCAAAAAGTTGAAGTTCAATTTTCTGTTGTGATCCTGTGGTAAGTTTACATTCCCTTTCCTCTCTCCTAATCCCAACTCTTCTTCTTCTTCTTCTTTTTTTTTTTTTGGTGCTTCTCCTGGGACTTGAATTCAGGGCCTGGGCACTTCTGTGTTCAAAGCTAATGCTCCACCACTTGAGCCACAGCACCATTCCTGGCTTTTTTCTTCCTTTTCTCTTTCTCTTTTTTTTTTGTGTGTGTGATTAAATGGAGATAAGAGGCTCAAGGATTCTCTTGCCCAGTTTGCTTCAAACTGCAATCCTCAGATCTCAGACTCCGAGTAGCTAGGATTATAGGAATGAGCCACTGGTGCCTGGCTTAACTCTTATTCTTAAATATACTTTTCTTCAACAGATGTTCCATTCCCTCTTCTCTAGTCTTTTGAACTATTTCACAGGGAGTACTTTCTAGAGCTAAGGATATACTTTATGTCTTCTCTAAGCATCAGCTCTGTGTTTAATCCACTATCTTTTTTTTTTTTTTTTTTTTTAATTTAATTTTATTTTATTTGAGAACATACTGTACAGAGGGGTTACAATAATCCACTATCTTTTACTACTCGTCACCAATCACTACTTTCCCTCTACCAAACAACTAGGTGAAGAAATAACCGCTCAATTCTTCGCTAAGAAATTCCTTTCCACGATAATGGCTACGATGGAAAGAGTGGCGAGTCATCAGGGATTGACAAAGAAAGGGTTGTGACTAAAGGCTTTAAGCACATCTTCCCCAAAGTTTGATCAGAGCTTCTCTGAGCTTTTTCTTTTTGCCCAAGTGTTGGGGCTTAAACACTAGGCCTTGCATTTTCAGCTTTTTTTGCTCATAGTTAGAACTCTACCACTTGAGCTACATCTCCAATTCAGACTTTTTTCTAGTTAATTAGAGACAAGTCTTGTGGATTTGTCTGCCTGGGTTGACTTTGAACCACAGTCCTGATATCTCAGCCTCTTGAGCAACTAGGGTTATAGGTGTAAGCTACTGATGTCTAGCTGAAATTTTCTTTTATATATAGTTTCTGATTATTTTTACTTTATGACAAGGCTTCTCAAATTTAAAAAGTCTGAAAACTACTTAGGATGATATTTAGCACACAACAATCACTCAAATTTATTTAGTGAATAAAGACCAAAGAGACTAGGATGATCTCTGAGATCTCTTCCCACTCTCATTTTCTATGGTGTCGGGCTGCTTACATAGGAACTTTACTGAAGTGGGACTCTTCTGCCTGTTTACAAATATCGTGATCGTTCAGCTGTTCCTTTTTCTAGGAGACAAAATATATTAAAGGCTGATTCTATAACAAAATTTCCTACAGTCACTGACTATAAAGATTCAAATACTTGGAAATAAGAAAACATTTGACAAGTAGAAAAAAGTTGTATATTTTTAACCAAGTTTGTGTCCTTAAGGTAGAAGAGTGCAAATGTTAAAAAAAAAAAAGTGACAACAGGCTAATACCAAATCACATTCTCTTCAAAGAGAAATTAAACATAAATCAGAAGGCTAAATATATCCTATACCTCTTGAAATTCTTGTGAACATTATCACTACCCATACTGTAGGTAATGAATCACAGTGATGTAAGACTTACTCTGTGATTTTGGGGTCTAGGTTGCCAATCCATAATCGGTGCCCTTCCTGTAGAGAGCCCTCTGAAAGGATGGATGCGTTCTCCAGGGGAAGTGTTTTTGTTTCTGCTTCCATCAATCTCTAGGAAATATTAAAGAGAATGTGAACAATTTAGACAGGAAAGGAGCAACTCTACTTGGACATGAGATTTCATATTTAATGCAACAAATATTTACCCAAGGAAGACATATTCTCTGGGAAGTCCTTCAAAGGCCTCAGTCTACAACCAGGGCCCTTCACCAGTTTTCTTAGGACAGCTCCTTTGGCAGCCAACACAGAAGCTGCTATTTATGGCAACAGAGGTGTGGCTATGGAGAATCTCAAACTTTCGTTAGGCACGAGGCCAAAGTCTCTATTCCTACACCATATTCCAACTCAATAACTGCTCTCCAAAGTTTAACTACTGCCTCCTAAAATAAGAGAAGTCTCAATGGCTATCAAAGGGAATAGCAGGGAACAAACAGTATCATATTCTTTTTCTTAATGGAAGAGGCATTATAGCAAAGGAAAGAAGCAACACAGGAAATTAGTACACAAAAATTTTTTTTTTTTGGGTCCGGTCGTGGGGCCTGAACTCTGGGCCTGGGCACTGTCCCTCAGCTCTTCAGCTCAAGGCTAGCTCTCTACCACTTGAGCCACAGCGCCACTTCCGGCTTTTATTCTTTTTGCTTATGTGGTGCTGAGGAATCGAACCCAGGGCCTCATGCATGCAAGGCAAGAGCGCTACCACTGAGCCACCTTCCCAGCCCTAGTACACAAATTTTGAAGCTAGACCCCAGTCACAAATGCTTACATTTGAAAGGGGAATGGGAAAATACAAAAGCAAGAGCTATAACTTATGCGAAATCCTGCAAACACAATTAAGCAGGGTGATCTGACTCAGGGTTGCACTGCTTTAGACTGAATGAAGATCTTCCTAAAAAAGGCAGAAATTTCTAATATTCTCATGTTGAGAAGCAGTAGCAATTTAAAAATTACTGCCAAAAGGCACAATCTGTACTGCTAAAAGGCACAATCTTCATTTTAAGTGACAAATGCAGGATACGGGCTCAGGAGTGATCTGGTTCAAATCTTCATTTTTATACCTAGTTACCTTATGACTTTGGCAAGTCACATGATCTCCTTTAATGTATCTTCCCCACAGGAAAGATTTTCCTTATTCTCGGTCACGGCCACTTTTTTCCCTCCCATATAATGCAAATAATGCAAAGTCATCTAACATTTTATTTTGAATTTATTTTGTAGAGGGCAGGACTTTGCCACCTCAGTCAAGGTTTTATCATCGGCACTCACTACTCGGTCTGGCTAATGGCTGGTGCCTAAAATTTACTATTCCAACTGGAGCCTTAATTTCTTTTTCTTTCCTGGAATGGGGACAATCATTCCTATTTTCATGAGGTCTTTTTCACTAAGAATATCCCGGTGACAGCCCAGCAACGGGCCACATGAGAAACTGTAAAGTGTAATAAAAGATCAAGGCGGCATTGACATTTCTCTAGAATGCAATGGCGACAATCTCTTACAAGAGAGTTCTAAAGATCCTTCCCCAGTTGAAACGCAACAACCCTGGACGCCAGGAAGAGTTATTTGGGAGGGAGGGCGGGGAGAGTGAAGTCCGCAGAAGCAAAAGGCATTTATTCTTGAAAGCCAACAGGCGGGGGTCCAGGCTGGAAGCCCGGCTTCTCAATTCCCGCCGGCGAATTCCCGGAGGCCAGGGGTCGTTTTCTGCTCGGCTTGTTATTTCCGGGCCGGAGGCAGGACAATCCGGGGCGGGGACTGAGGGCCGTTCCGCGGGCCGGCGAAGGGGGAGTCTTTCCTACGACCTCCTCACGGGGCTAGCGCTGAGGGACGGGGACACGCAGCAGCCCCACTCACCTTGGTGACTTCACCGTTGTGTCCTCAGCTCATAACCTGAAGACCGGTCTTGACGCCCCGGTCGGACAGACTTCTGGAAGCGTCCGCCTCCACACCGCCCGCTGCCAGGCCGTCCGTGACGCACTACGCCTGCGCCGTCGCACCGCCCCGTGACGTCACGACGCCCGCGCCGCCGCCGTTGCCGACGTCGCACGAGTCTTTCCGTAGTAACCCAGGCGATAGTTGGTGAGTGCCGTCGAGGGGTGTCAAGGCGCCCTGGGGGTTCTAGGTACCCGAGATTCTATTCAAAAACCTCTGAGAGACGTCGGGGGGGGGGGGGAACGGATCACTGCCCTTGACCCATTGGAGTCCGGCCTGACCTTAGGCCTGGGGCGGGGCCGACGGCTCGGAGCGCGCCTCGCGGGGTGGGGGCGGGGCTCGGTCCAGCTCCCCGGATGCCCCCGAGCCTGTTAAATCGTAGGCGCTGTGCAGTAGCCGGTCACCTGACGGGGACATTTCATCTTTCAGAACAGGCCTTCGGCAGTAGGTGTTGTTATTCGCCGTGAGGAAGAGACAGAAGCTGAAAGATAGCTTTACCACGGGCCGTTGGCTCACGAATTGATGGAGCGTAAATTCAATCTTACTAGGCTTGTCCAAAGCCTGTACTTCTGAATCGCTACTAAGTGCTGTCCGGTGGAAAAACAGTTGTCGTTTCAATAACCCTTCTCCATTTACACAGACCTGACTGCTTTTACACATGTAATTGAGGTCCTGAGCGTTTGACCAAGCTGAAGTCACATACATAAGGAAGTACAGGAGAAGCCCGTCTCTTTCTCAGGTCTTCTCTTAAGTTTTTCTGTTTTTTGCGGCCCCCCCCCGCGTAATCATACTCTTCATTTCAGAGATTCTTGGCGTGCTTATGGGATGAAAACTTGCCCCGGTTAAGGGCTCTCGCTGCCTGGACTGCAGGAGGAACTTATGGTTTTCCTGCCTCCTCCCAAGCTGATAATTTTATAGTAAAGAAAACAAAACCTAGATAGGAGAAATGATTTAATACATTTACAAGTGATAGAAGTACACCAGATGCTTTTTGATTTTTTTTTTTTTTGTCTCAGCCTGGGCACTGTCTCTCAGCTCTTCAGCTAAAGGCCAGCCCTCTACCACTTGAGCCACAGCACCACTGCCGGCTTTTCTGTTTATGTGGTGCTGAGGAATGGAACCCAGGGTCTCATGCATGCTAGGCAAGCACTCTACCACTGAGCCACCGTCCCAGCCCATGATCTCTGCCTTTTGAGTCACTAGAATTGCAGGTGTGAGCCACCAGTGTCTTGGCCTACTGTTTTATGTACACAGTGTCGTATAACAATTAAGAGTGCAGACTTTGGAGCTAAGTTGTGTTAGTTTAATCTTAGGCAATTCACTTGTGCTTTTGTTTCCTCATCTGTAAAGTGGAGACAGTTTTAATACTTACAGGGTTATCTTGAGGCCCAGATAAGTTAATGTGTTGTATGAAGTACTTAGAGTATGGTATGTAACATAATTATCACTAAAATATTACCTATCATCATTACTAGTGCTATAATACTATAAACCCAAAAATATATTATAATAATTTATTATATAATAACCTTTTTATAGGGGGCAATACTAGGGTCTAAACTCAGGACCTGGGCTTGCTTGCACAAATAAATGGCCTATCACTTGAGCCATTTCCCCAACTGTTGGTATCTTCTTAAAAGCTCATTAATATCACTGCAGTGAGGTAGAAATTGTTGCTCAAAAAGGCTATATGACCTACTCAAGGTCATATTATCTATTTAGTGGGGGAACTAAGATTCCAGTTCCACACTATGCCCAAAGCCCTACACTGTAGCCACATTGCTTCTGCGTATGGGTTAATTTTGTTTGATAGTACTACAACTCTCATGATGTTTCTTTAACATTAATTCTTTATCTATGCTGAATTGAATGTTTATGTGTTTGTCCTTATGGTAAAGATTCAAGCGACAGCCTTTATTCAGCTTTGACTTTGACATTTCCTGACTTCTATGTAATTAAAATCTATGCCTCAAAGCATTTCAGTAATATGGTCTATTTATAGAATTGTCTTCCGGTTCATGTGTACCGGGTCTGCTTTTGGGTGTTGCATTTTCTGTCAAAGGTTGTTTGTTTCTAACCCATTTTTGACTTCCTGTTGCTTTGTGGATTGGTACTCTGACCTGTAATAGGAACATCAGGAAACCTGTCATACAGAGGGTAGCCAGATTGGGCTTCTCTATATTAAATATTATGTAGCCATATTTGGATGTTAGTGAGTTAGGTCCTGGCTATATTAGGCAAAAATGTAGTTTTAGAAGTTTCACTAGGAGCTAGATAACAGTGGCTCATGCCTGTAACCCTAGCCTCTCAGGAGGCTGTGATCTGAGGATTGTCGTTTGAAGCCAGCCTACACAAGAAAGTCTGTGAGATGCTTATCTCCAATTAACCCCCACACACACAGAAAAAGAGAAGTTAGGTGTGGCACCAATGGTAGAGCACCATCTTTGAGCAGAAAAAGCCAAGTGAGAGCATATGGCCCTGAGTTCAAACTCCAATACAACACAAAAAGAAAGCAGGAAAGAAAGGTAAAGAAAAGAGATCTCCCTGGGATCCAAGACAAACTTTTGTGAATAGCTCTTAAGGAGAGCTGGGCTATTATAAGCTGCATGTTCTTGGACAGTGACTTAATCCCTGAGAGCCTCAGTTTCAAACTCTTTATACTTTGTTGAATTATTAACAAGATGTATTAATCTAGAGCTGGTTCTAGCGGCTCATGTCTGTAATTCTAGTTCAGGAGACTGAGATCTAAGGATTTTCATTCAAAGCCTGCCTGGACAGGAATGTCCATGAGACTCTTGTCTCCAGTTAACCACCAAAAAGCTCATGTGGAGCTATAGTTCAAGTAGTAGAAACTAACCTTGAGCAAAAAAGCCCAAGGACAGTGCTCTGAGTTCAAGCTCAAGGACCACACATACCCACAAAAGAATAAAACAAGAAGATAAGACCTGACCTCAATGGATATTAACTATTGATAATTAAAAAGGAGGGAAAAGTATTTCTTTACTTTTCATTCAGGTCTGTTAGTAAAGACTTCATACACTAATCACTGCTGCCAGCACACTTGTTATTAAAAATTCCATCAGGAGAAAGTAGTTACTTTTGTGCTACTCATTTGTTTCTCTTTAGAAAAGAAATAATGATAATAATGGTAGTAGCTATGTTCATTAATAGCTACCATATTCCAGACAATGGGCTACATATTTATATACCTTCATGATTTCATTTTATTTGAAGAGCAGGTTCCTTTTCTCATTGGTAAAGAAAGTGATGCCCAGAAAGGTAGAATAAATTATCCAAAGCAGAAATTTGCATACATGGCTGACTGACTCCAAGCCACCTTAAACATCAGCATTAATGATATACATATAGAATTTCTTTGTGTCTGACCCTTAAGAAAAAGATGAAACTGTTAATAGATACTTATTAGTCATTGTGCTATGTAACCTTGTTCTGAATTCTTAAGAAACAAATAATATGTCTTTTTTACAGTAGGGAAATTAAGATGCTGAGAAATGTAGAACATTTATTTAGTGGTGGAGCTGGGACTGGATCCCTGTTTTTCCAGGCTTCAAAGTCCTTATCTTTGGTTAGTCTGTTAAACTGCATTAGAATTTTTAGGAAGAGGGGCTGGGAAGGTGGCTCAGTGGTAGAGTGCTTGCCTTGCATGCATGAGGCCCTGGGTTCGATTCCTCAGCACCACATAAGCAGAAAAAGCTGGAAATGACACTATAGCTCAAGTGGTAGGTGCTAGCCTTGAGCTGAAGAGCTGAGGGACAGCACCCAGGCCCAAAGTTCAGGCCCTACAACTGGCAAAAAAAAAAAAAAAAAGAATTTTTAGGAAGATGTTTTAAATTTTTAAATGAGATGTGGGACTGATTTTCAAAGAACAGCTTCTGAATACTTGCCACCAATTTTTAGTTGAATAATAGTAGCCAGATTCTGGGCAGATGCTATAGTATTGTGTTTGTTGGCTAGGACTGTGTTCCATCTCAGGGGCAGCATCTTTCAGACCTCAGAATTATAATATATAACTTACATTAACCTAGTGGAGGGTGGTATTTTCCAGTGCTTTTATATCATAGAAGACCTCAGGCCTCAATTATGCTTCAGACTCACATTAAACTGTGTTCTAATTGGTAATCAGTGTATAAGGAACCAAAGAAAATTTTAATTAAATGCTGTCGTGTAAATTTTCCAGTCATTTTATGCCTATTGAAATGGTTTTCTTATTTAAAGTCCTCATCCAGTGTTCTGCTCTTCCTTTTAAACTTCATCTAGATTTTGAGCTTTTTCTTATATTAAAATTTAATTAGCAGTCCGTAAAGATTTAGGTTGCTGCACATTTGCTTAATAGGCATTTTGGTGCAGTAGAAAGAACTGGGGTTCTGTGTCCTGTAGGCTGTGGGAAAGTTACTTAAATCACTGTGTGCCTCAATTTGTTTATCTTTATAAAGTGAAGCAAGTCTTTTTTTTTTTTTGGGTCCGGTAGTGGGGCCTGAACTCTGGGCCTGGGCGCTGTCCCTCAGCTCTTCAGCTCAAGGCTAGCGCGCTACCACTTGAGCCATAGCGCCACTTCTGGCTTTTTTCTTTTTGCTTATGTGGTGCTGAGGAATCGAACCCAGGGCCTCGAGCATGCAAGGCAAGCGCTCTACCACTGAGCCACCTTCCCAGCCCCATAAGAAGCAAGTCTTTTTTGTCTACAGTTATTGGAATATTAGAAATAATAGATCTACATTGTCTGGTCCCACTTGTTGATAATTGGTAAGAATTTTCTAAAGTATGGTTTCTTTTACTTAGATCTCCTTTTTTTTGTCTTCTTTCTAGTGGATATTCACAAGGATTGTCTTCTGTCATGGCCTTGGGATTAAAGTGTTTCCGCTTGATCCATCCTGCATTTTGCAGTTACCTTACAACTTTGACCAGACCTATTTCAGAAATCACAGTGAAGACAATGAGTGGCAGACAACCTGACCATAGGCAGTACATGGCCTGTACAGTCGTACCAGTTCGACATTTTGCCACTAAGAAAGCCAAAGGTATAGACATATGATCTCCCCTCCTCTTTCTTATGTTTGACCCAGGAATTATAAACTGTCTGTGATCTCAAAGATACACTGAATTTCTTTCCTGTCCACACAAGGAAATTATGTCTTGGACAGTTCAGTTGAATTGCTTGAAAGGTCTCAATAACAAGAGACTGTGTGTGAACCCAGATCCTTTTTTCTTTTACTCTGCTGCCTCATTTATTTCTTGGTGGCTCAGAACATACCTAACTTATTCTTTCAGGTTTAGAATTAGAGGTTTAAGTATCAACCAAACAGGAATGCTTGTGACAGGCATCATCATCTTCTCTCCTAGAAGGAAGATACATGGTGGAAGCATAATTAAAAGCAGGAGGTTTTTGGGTGAAAGGAGTATTAGAACTGTGGATGTAGATGGATGATCTTAATGGCTTTTGTCATCTAAGAATGAGATTTTGATGTACCACAGGTCTCAGCTAAAATAGCACTTCCTTAGGGAAGCCTTCCCTGACCTCTTTAGGTCAGGTCCCGAGTTACCTGCACTTATGCACACTGTTATTTTACCTTTGATGCACTTAGAACAGCAGTAATTAATTAATTAATTAGTCACTTGTGAAATTATTGTTTCTTATGGTCTTCCATGTTGAACCCAACAAAGGTAGTCTTTTTTTTTTTTTTTTTTGTTATTTAGCACCCACCACCAGGGCCTGATTCATGGTATATATTCCATACTTTCGTTGGATGAATGAGTAAGAATTTGTAGTAGTGGGTCAGGTAGTCCATGCTCAAGGGTGGTGTTACAGATATGACACTAATATTTTCCTACTCACTGTCCTTTTCTGGTTTTATGCAGTTAATTACTGAAAGATGATGAATGGTCAGAAGACTTTACATTCTGTTAAGAGTGATTCAAAATAACATTTGATATATATGTTTTATTATATTTATTTTTTAAGTTCTCTTATATTTACTGGATTAGTCTTTATCATTTATTCCTTGAAGGGGTTTTTAATAATTACCTAGTTAATCCAGATCTGACCATTTTGCAAATGAGAAAAGTCCAGTACCTTTGTAAAAAATTTGCCCGTGGTCATGTCTAGTTAGTGGAAGAGCTGGAAACCTGAGCCTCTTGTTGCAGCAGCATTTCAGTTTCCTAGACACCCGACTTGAACTGCGGCCTCTAACCAACTTCTTTTCATATTCAGTGGGCTGTACAGGTTTTTTTTTTTTAAGTTTCCTTAAAAAGTTGTTTTTCTTTTTCTTTTAGATTTATCAGTCTTTTTACATTAGAGATATTAATCTTTTGTTGATTGTGTTATAAGTTATCTTTTTCTTTTTTTTTTATTGTGTTTATGGTGTTTTTGCTGGATATAAGTTTTCATGTCGTTATGTTTTTCAGCTTTTTCCTTTGTTATTTATGCCTTTTTTTTTTTTTAAACCAGGGCTGAGAACCGAACCCAGGGCCTTGTGCGCGCCAGGCGGGCGCCCTTCCGCTGGGCTAAACCCCCAGCCCCGTCATTTATGCTTTTTATGCCTTTTTTCTTTTTTTGTTTTAAAAAACAGTTTTATTGAGATACAGTTCACATTTCTATAATTTAGAGTGCAGCTCACTGTTTTTTTTACAACTGTACCTTTTTTCTTTTTATTATTATACTTAAGTAGTTGTACAAAGGAGTTGCCATTCAACAAAGTAGTCTATAAATATATCTTGGTCAGTGGCTTTTTATAAGTCTTTTTCAATTAATATTTCCTATCCTGAGAGAGTTTATATCTGAATATGGTGTGAATTAAAACACTAGTTTTAAGTTTCTTTTCTATTATTATCAGTCATAAGTTGTTTTACACCATATGTAGCTCATCCAGGTTTACAATGACTCCTCTTTTCTTTATATGTATGGTATTGTTCCTGAGCTTTTGTGTTTGTTGAACTACTTTTTCTCTCTGCATTTAATTCCTGACTGCTTGAATCACTATCACAAAATCTTGAATTTAATGAGTCAAATCTTTCCTCTCATTATATATTTTTTCATTTTCTTTTCAGCCTTTTAATCTTCCTTATGAAGTTTGTAATTATATTGTCAACTTTTTCCAGAAGAATTTGCACAATCTTTTAGTCAAATATGTTTATGGGGTATTGTAACATTTTTGTTACTTTTGTATTTGATATATTTAAACATTATTTTGAGCTACAGCAAATATACTTGTATATGTGTACTATATATATATATATATATATATATCTAGTAGAATTTAGGTAGTAGATATCTAAATTTCAAGTGTATGGCTCAGTAATTTTTTTCTTTTTTTTTTTTTTTTGATGGTATTGTTTAAGTTCAGGGCTTTCCACTTGCTAGTTAGGTGCTCTACCACTTGAGCTATATGTGCTTTAGTTATTTTTCACATAGCATCTTGCATATTTTCCTTGGGGATGGCCTAAGATAGCAAATCTGCTACACTATACCTTCTATGTAGTTGGGATCACAGGCATCTGGCATAAGCAAATATCTTCTATCCTTATTTGCTAAAAGATATTTAGCAATCAGGTGCTGGTGGCTCATGCTTGTAATCGTAGCTACTCAGGAGGTTGAGATCTGAGGATCACAGTTCGAAGCCATCCCCAACAGAAAAATTCATAAGACTGCATCTCCAATTAGCCAGTAGAAAAGGCTAGTCTTGGGTGTGTGGCTCAAGTGATAGAGTGCTAGCTATGAGTGAAAAAGCTTGTATTGACAAAAGGGGAAAAAAAGATTTTTTTTAGCAAAACAAGCATACAACAAAACCCTTTTTAATTTTAAATTAGTTTAAGTCAAATGTTACCACATTTATTGAGATTATCTCCTCCCTGCACCTCTTATCTCCCTTCCCTGACTTTTTCTGCAATGCTGGAGATTGAACTCATGACCTTGCTCATGCTAGGCAAGTGATCTATCACTCAGCAACATCCCTAGCCCATCTTTTATTAATATGGTAACTCAAAACCATTTTTGGAATTTTGGTATGAGGCTTGCTTGCTATTGATATATAGTTTGAGTATACATTGCTTAGTACATAATCTGTATCTATCTTGCAACATTTATTGAGCCTGTATTTAGGATTTATATGTATTGTGTTTGTTGAGTGTTTACATTTTTATCCTAGTAATTTTGAATTTTCTTTATTCTGTGATTATCTTTTTATTTCTTTCCATTAATAATCTAGTATCTTTGCTAATTATTTCTTTGCTTCTTTTGTATCTCTGTTGAGTTAGAAGACATATATTCTCTTTTGTTTAAGTTTGATAGTTGCCCTTAATTATTTTCCTTTTACCTTTTAATAGAAATAAAAAAAAGCATTTTAGGAAAGTACAGCTATCCTATGACTTGCACAAACTGAAATCACTTTGTCTAACCAATATCCAAATCAGTGGTATACATCTGTACCACCTTAAGGATAGGAGGTAGGAGGATCCTGAGTTTAAGGCTACCTGGACTACGTAGTTCAAGGCCATCCTGAGCCACATAGTGAGATTGGTCTCAAAAAAAAATAAATAAATAAAAAAGAAAGAAATTAAGTAGAAACTAGGAATGTATCTCAGTGGTAGAGTGTTTGCCTGTCATATGAGGTCATAGATATGGTCAAATGTACTGCAGATAATGATAATAACGAGAGAATATTCTAGCACATTAAACACATCTAATAAGTATATTCTCTTTGCATGTAATTATTATTCAGCTTTTAGTGGCAAGGATTAGTTTTTGTCTATTTTATACTGTTCATCATCTGTTCTTGTCTATGAATTTTTACCATACAGTTGTATTTTTGTGTCTGGCCTCTTTGCTCAGCATTATATTTGTGAGATTGATTTAAATTCTCTGTAGCTATAGATGATTCTTCCTCAGGAAAATATAGTATTTTATTCTTACTTACCATTATCCAGTCTAATGTTGATGAGTATATCTTTAATATGCCTACTTATATTTTTAACATGCATGCTTGATTTAAAAAGTCTAAAGTTGAAGGTATTATTTCCATTGTTTATAGCACTTAGAAAGCATTCTAAATTTTTCTTTTTCTTTTCTTTTTTTAGCTGGGCATTATTCCTTAGCTTGTTTTGCTCAAGACTGGCTCTATACCACTTGAGCCACAACTCTACCTTCAGCTTTTTGGAGATAAGAGTCTCAGGGGCTTTTCTGTTCCAGGTGGCTCCAAATTGTGATCCCCAGATCTTAGCCTCCTGAGATTATAGGCAGCTAGGCCTATAGCTAGCAATTCTTTTGAAGAGTTCATTTTCTCCTGGGCTTTTTCAAGATTTTTATGTCCTTGATTTTCTTTATTTGCAAGAAGCTTAGCTATGGATTTGCTTTTATTATCTCATTTCTGATTTGTATTTCTGAACCTCAAATTGATATTTTTAATTATTTCTAAAGATTCTAATTCATTAGTTTATTAATTCAGGAGCAATAGGGGTTCCAGCATGATGGTACAGCAGTGTTGTTGTTATTGTTTGTTTGTTTGTTTTTTCTGATTCTTGAATTTAGGTCCTGTGCAATGTCCTGAACTTTTTTACTCAAGGATAGCACTTTACCACTTAAGCCACAGCTACATTTTAGCTTTAGGATGGTTAATTAGAGCTAAGAATCACACAAACTTTCCTTCATGGGCTGGCTTTGAACCATAATCCTCAGAGGTCAGCCTCTTGAGTAGCTAGGATTACAGGCTTGAGCCAGTGTTTAAAAAAAACAACAAAAATCACTTTGCTGCTTACTGTTTACTTACTTTGGTTAAGACATTTAAATGACATGTACTTCAGATTTCTTATCTGCACACTGGGTATAATAATAGTCTCTATTTTCTACCTTAGAGAGCTATCTTGAATATGAAGTAAAAGTATGTCCTTGAAATTGCATTGGAAATTAGAATATGCTTTATAGATAACCCAGGATAGTACTTGCTATAGATATTTGTTTCATGAGTCTAGTTTTTGTTGCATGAACAGTGTAATATTATATAAAGATACTCATTTCAATTTTTTTTTTTTTTGTCAGTCATGGGGCCTGAACTCTGGGCCTGAGTACTGTCCCTCAGCTCTTCAGTTCAAGGCTGGCACTCTACCACTTGAACCATAGCACCACTTTCAGCTTTTTCTGCTTATGTGGTTCTGAGGAATCAAACCCAAGGCCTCATGCATGCAAGGCAAGCACTCCTCCACTGAGCCACCGTTCCAGCCCTCATTTCAATTTTTTTCTTTCCCTACCTCCATAAAGAAATGTAAGAGAATTTGTATTCCATACATGTGAAAAATCAGTATGATGGTTTAGACATAAAATCCACTTTTCAATGCTGACTTTCTAAAATAAAAGCTATTATTATTATTGATAGTGTCTAATGTCTCTAAACTATTGCTGTTTTTGCATGTATCAGCCATTCATTATTGTATATACTTTGTCTTAATATTCATTTTTAAATGTACTGATGTGTTTCCTCTGTCTCCAATTAGATTTTATGGAGATGGTCTATTGGGAATTCATGGGTGTAAAATTAGACCAAATCCTGACTTTATCATTTCCTTTGACATTAGGCAAGTCACTTTACCTTTCTTACAATTTCATTTTTTTTTTGAAAAATAAAGTGTTAGTTCCTTTATGGATCCCCTGTGATGTATATAAGACTCTTGAGGTGTTTGAATGACTTAATTTATATTTTTAGAGCAATATAGATTTTAGTACTTCTCTTTTACAGGTAGGGAATGTAATACTCAGAAAGGTAGAGTAACTTGCCTGAGGTTATATTGCAGGATTTTAACTGGAGTGTTTACTTACAAAGCCTGTGCCCTCATTGATATCTGAGCAGTGTATAACATAACACAATGCTAGGCACCTACTTAGCAATAAGGAAATACAGGGTTTTGTGTGTGTGTGTGTGTGTGTGTGTCACAGAGAGTGTTTTATAATTTAGTCTTCTAGCACTAGGCATTTTCACCTACACAGTGTAGGCTGTCCTTCACCAATGCTTATGGATCCTGTTCATGCTACTGTTCTTTTATTTACTGAATGCTGACTTTCTAGCTAAAGGGAAAGGACAATCCCAGACCAGAGTAAACATTAACATAGCCTTGGTGGAGGATATAATTAACTTGGAAGAGGTAGATGAAGAAATGAAGTCTGTGACGGAAGCACTCAAGGACAACTTCAATAAGACCCTCAACATAAGGACCTCACCAGGTTAGTGACCAAATCAGTGTTTTGGGGAGGGCTGTAGTGGAAAGAACATGGCTTTGGTTGAGTCTTAGTTCTAGCTTTGGCACTGACTGACTGACTTTCTGGTGACCATGGGTAGTTACTTTTCAGGTCTTTATTTTCTTGTCTGATTCTTACCTTACAGTTTGGGAGTAAGTGTTAAAGTAATGGAGGTTTAATGCAACAGCACAATATCTGGCACATAGTTAACACTACTTAGCAGTAAGCAAGCCTAAGGTGAACTAGGCATTGTGCTTATGCGCAAGGAACTAGGAACAATAAAAAACAATAATGGTGGTCATTGTTCTCAAAAATTAGCAGTTACTCGACAGGCAGAGATGGAGAGGATTGAGTCGTGGGGCTAGTCTAGACAAAAGTATCATGAGACTCCATCTCAAGCAATAAAACTGGATGTGGTGGTATATGTCTGTTATCCCAACTATGCAGGGAAGTGTAAGTAGGAAGATCACTGTCCAGGTTGGCCCTATTTCAAAAACCACCAAATCAAAATGGGCTGGGGGCCTGGCTCAAGGAGTGGAGCACTTGCCTAGCAAGCATGTTGCCATCAGTTCCACCAAGGGGAAAAAAAAAGGAAATAAAGGAATTTTATTACTACTGTAAACACATCTATTTAGGTTCACGGGTCTGATACCTTGGTCTGCCTTTTCCAATTTGTCTTATTTGGCAGTTGTTATCCCTTACAGAGAACTAAATGGCTATAGAGCTGTCCACCTGAGGCCTTTCTGTACCCCTGAGCTTGACCAGGAAGATTTCTTCTGGGTTAATAGCTTCCTGAAAGCAGCTTTTCTAAGTGGGAAATGTCAGAACAGTCCAGAAGAACTGTTTGCAGATGTGATGGAGAAGTGAGTTGTCAGCTAATGGTGCAGGCAGGCAGGAAAAATCCAATTGCTGTTAAATTGGCCTTTTGCAAATTGTCATCATCCTATAGTTAAGCCTGGGACCCCCTCTGAAGTTATCTGTGGGAGCTTTGGCTGCTCCCACTCAAGTCTTGATTGGGGAACTTTGTAAGGGAAATATAAAATACTTCATGAAATAGAAAATACTTAATGAACTCATTCTTAAGAGAGCCAAGTAAAAAATACAGAACTTCATTCTAAATACTATCAGAAACATTGTGAGTTCAGAGATGAGATTCAGTGTGAAACTAGGAAACCATTCCCAGCATTTGTCAACCTTTAGACTGGGGCATTTCTGCTTTTGCTGACAGTAGAGTGTGCCATTCAATCTCTCTCAGCTGTTTACTTTAAACTTGCTTATTATTTTAGGTATGAAACTGATAAAGTGCTCTGTCTCCCATGTGCTTTCTGGCCTGTTAACATTCTGCAGCCGAAACCAGAGAGCAGTTTGAGAGGAGCTTGGGGAGAAATGTGATACTTAAAATTAGCCAGCAAACTCCACTCTTGTTGAACTTAAAAAGATGATGGGCCTGGAAAGAGGCTGGGAGTGTAATTTGTTAAATGTTAACCTCTGAGAAAATGAGGGGCAGGAATGGGGCTGAGGGAGATTCTCGCTGGGGACAGATTGAGGGAAAAGGATTTGATGCATTATGTCGATATGGATTTAAGGAATAGGAACCAACCACCACAATTGCATACTGAATTGCCTTTGTTGGAACTTCTGTGGCAAGGGATCTTATGGCAAATCAGGAAGGCTAAATTAAGATCCTTTTTCAAAAGGCCTACCCTTGGTATTTCCTCTTTGCTTCTTTTTCTTTGGGTTATGTTTTTGTAATGTTCTGTGTAGAACTTGGGACCATGAAGAAACTGGGTAAAACAGGCTAACCTCAGCTAGATTCTTTCATATCGTATTTCATCACTATCTGAACCAGCAGGCACTTTTCCTCTTACACTTCTATGTGTCTAAATTTCTATCTTCAAGATAGTTGACAGGTTTTAACAGTTGTCTAAGTTACAGATTTCTTTTATCCTTTTCTGATCTCATTTCCTTTCATCTATCCATTCCTTTCATTTAGTCACTATAGCAATATTGAGCACATAATCTGTAGTAGTTATTTTAATATGTGCTGTAGCTAAAGAGAGGAAACATTGTTTCCACTTCTAAGAGCCTAGAACCATATATAAAGGGGCAGAGAAGTAAACCATCATGTTTACACCACCTACAAAGCAGAATGGTGAAGACCATGGCTTGGAGATAGTAAGATCTAGATTTGAATTCAGGCTCTATTATTAAAGACCTGTTGTGATCTTGGGCAACTTACTCATGTATAAAGTGGTGGAAGTAATAACTATCATTATCATTTTTGATAATAATAGCAAATACATTGTAGAAAGTCTTCAGCATGATATGTTGCCCATAGGAAGTGTTCAGTAAATTTAGGTATCATCATTATTTGTAGAATGGGGACTCACATTAGGGGTCTGAGAAAGTCAAACGTTATGAGATTAGATGCTACTAATAGCTGAGTATTAAAAAAAATTGAGAATTATCTGAGCAGATAATTATCCTGAGGCAAGAGAGGACACTGTGTTAGAGAAATTACAACTACATTAGTTTGATTAAAATGTAGAAAAATGTCAAGAAGTAATAACAGTAAATACTATTGGGACACAATTATGTATGTTTTTTTCAAATACTCTTTGATTTAACCCTCTTAAGAACTCTTTAATACAATGTTTATGTTCATTTTAGAGATGAGGAAACCAAGGCCCGTGAGGTTGGAGGGATCCACCCAGGTCTCACAATCTAGAAGTAACAGAATAGGTATTTGAACTCAGGTTTTTGTTCTTTAGAATCATAGGGACTTTTATCATTACACCTCCTGGACTTTCACAGTTAGACTTTTCTAGTAATGTCAATAACCTTTTATCTTGCGATGACATTGAATCTGGTTGAGTACTTCAAATCAGATCTTTGGATCATAGTGTGGTGCAGCATTATTCTAATACACAGGATAACTCCAGTTTGTATAAGAGATTCCACAGGCCCCTTCTCTTTGTCTGAATGAGCCATCGTGAGTGGTTCCTACTATGGATGGTAAGGCTTTTCTGCTAGTTTCAGTTGCATAGGAAATCAGGGAGTCTGAATAATGTACCTTCTGTAGCTGTAGCTTTAGTGATTACCTTCTTCAGTTTCTGAAAGTTTTGCCTAAGGTTTTCCAGAATTAGGATGTGGAAAAAGGTCAGATCCGGGATAACAGCAAAGCATTAATAGGTGTTTTGTTTTAGACAGGGTCTGGCTGTCCAGGCTGGCCTAAAACTCTTGGTTCTCCTGCCTTAGTCTCTCCAGGGCTGCGATTGTAGGTGTATACCATTGTGTCTTGCTCCTACCCTCCTTCTCTCACTTCCTTGCCTTCTTTTTTTGTTAATGGGCTTGCTTCAGGAGAGCATCTCAACACCATAATCAAAAGTGGCATAGGGAATAGCCTGTCTGTGTGCTAGAATTATGTGGTGAATTAAAAAAAATCTACCAGATCCCTTCCAAATCAGGATTGCTGAGATGGGGTCCCGGAATCTAACGTTAAAAGCTCCTGCATGATTCTGATGCAAGGCAAATTTGTGTTCTACTCATGTTAGGGAAAGAACCTTCACTGAAATCAGAATTAAGCATACCTGAATTGAGACTTAGTTCTTGGTTTTCCTTAAGTTAGCACTATGATCTTGGCCCATTTATCCTTCTCAAGTCTCCTTGAAAAGTGGTGGTGGTAGTATAGTGAACAAGGAGTTATGAGAACTAAACAGGATAAGATATCTTTTCAGTGCTTATTTTTTGGTATTGGTTATATACCTGGTCATTTTTATTTAGCATTTTTATTTATTTATAGTCTTTTAGCTTCAGACTTTAACTTTAATTCTGTAAGGTAGTTTTTTTTCTTAAGATCAAAACAGAAAACAAGTAACTTGACTGATGTTTTGTAACTAGTAAATGTTGCTAGAAGGGTGATCTACTCTTCATTCTCAGCTCTGAAAGTTCTATATCAAAGAAAACCCCTTGAATTCAAGTAAATGAGAATGGTTGCTTTCTCTAGTTGCTAGCAAGGAATCCCAACCTATTTCAGTGAGTCAAGATCTCTCGGTCATGTGACACTTCTAAACAATACCCTTAGACAGTTCTATCACATTAGTATACCTGAATGTTTGTTGAATCCAAATTAGGTAGGAACTTAGACATGACTCTTAAGGTCCTTTGGAATTCTAAAACTTGATAATTTATTTTTTATTTTTTTTTAGGATCCCTTGATAATATTACTGTGGTAACTGCTGATGGGAAGCTTACTTTAAACCAGATTGGCCAGATATCCATGAAGTCACCACAGTTGATTTTGGTGAATATGGCCAGCTTTCCAGAGGTTAGTTGGTTTTGCTGAAAGAGTCTCTCCACTGTCTCTTTTGGAATAAAGGAATGGGTCAGGAGGAATTATCCTCTTCAGCTTGGGATGAAAGAAGAGTAGAGATTTACTCACCAAAGGGAACTTAGAACGAACAAAGCTCTGTCCTGTTTCTAAATTGTTTATCTGATAAAGGCTATATGTGAGTAATTTGAATATTTATATAGCTTCATTTAAGAAAACAATAATGGAGATGCAGTAATTGGATCTAGCTGATGTTCTGGGACTTTAGAAACCTGTATAGCCTGTGCCTTGTCTGAGGGGATAGCTTTGCCCAGCCCCTACAGATGAACATTGCCACATACAGATGTAGGTCAGATACTATAATTCTATTTCTAGAAGAGCCATAATTCAAATTTTTGTATATCTTTGTTTGCTAAGTATTGATGACTAATTCATTTTTCCTTTTATTTATTTATTTTTCCTTTCATGCATTTTTTATTGTTACTATAAAGGTGATAAGTGGTTATGTAAGATAGAGTATATTTCTTTTTGGACAATGTCACTTCTTCCCTTGCTCTCTTCCAGTTTTTCCCACCCCTCCCTGCCCACACATTGTATAATTCATTTTCAGTATAGTGTCTAGTGAGTACCACTGCTGCATTTGTTCACCCTTTGTCCCACCATTTCTGTGCCCCCCTTCCCTCCCAAAGACAGATAAACAAGACAAAAAGAAGACAAAAACAGCAACAAAGAAAGAAAAGCCCTCTTGTTTCCATTTCAGAATTCATTTCGATGAATATTATTTTATATGATCAGATGCACATAGGTATTGCATCTTTGTGTTTCTCTCCTAAGAATATCCTCCTTTGCTCTTACTATGTATGAATGCCTAGAGACCTGTATAATTTATCATGTCCTTGTAGTAGATTAATGGATCAAGAAAATGTGGTATATATACACAATGGAATTCTACTCATCCATCAGAAAGAATGATACTGTACCATTCATGAAGAAATAGACTTGGAAAATTTTATATTAAGCAAAGTAAGCCAAACCCAGACAAATAAAGGTTGTGTGTTTTCCCTCATTTGTAGTAGCTAGAATGTGCCTATAAATCTACACGTAATCACTTCTCTTTTTGAAAACCTTGAGATAAAGTCAGGTGCTGGTTACTCAGGAGTCTGAGGTCAAGAAGATCACAATTTGAAGACAGCCTGGGCAGAAAAGTCTGTAAGACTGTCTCCAAAATAAACAGCAAAAAGGAGGGCTGGAGGCTTGGCAAAAGAGAGTACTAAACAAAGAAGCAAGAAAAAAAAATAAGACTTTTAAGTTCAAATCCTGGTTTTGACAAAAAAATGGAAACAAAAACCAAGAAAACCTGTGAGACAAATAAAACATTTTAATAGGACATATATAGCCTGAGTGCCATCAATTTGTGATTTCTCTATTAGTATTTGAAGGAGACACTCCAAAGATTTCACATTCTTTTTAAAACTAGAGTTTTCAGACTGACCATTGCAGAATATTGAACAGAGCACATTGCTTCCAAGATCAGAGGGTAAATTGCGTTAAATCAGTTATAACCTTTATTTTAGGCTGTGTGGTATTAAGTCTAGTTGAGGAGGGTAATTGGATCCTTCCTTAATTTTTTTTTTTCTTTTTAGGTCCAAGACTGGGACTTAAACTCAGTACCTGGTGCTTTCACTTACTAGCTAGGGCTCTACCAACTGAGCTACGTCTCTAACACCAGATCCTTCCTTATTGGTCCAGTAGGAATTGGCCTAGCTTGGGTGTCCTATAGGGTCTGAAATTTGGTCCCATCCCTTGCTCTAATTGGTTGTTAGAACTTGGGCAAGTAGTTTAACTCTCTGGGCCTGTATTTCCTCATATGCTAATATAAAGTAAGATCTTATTCTCTATTTCAAAGACCTAGACCAAAGTTCAACATGTACAAGACTTGACAAACTGAGTATCTGTAAAGGGGGAAAGTCCTTGCTGTAAACAAACTTTCAAATCAGAGGCTTCTTGTAGCAAATGTGCTAGGTAAACTTACTGGGTTGCTATTAGTTACCACTGCCCAACTCCGTTCTATCTACTGCAGTTAATTTGTAAAAGGATGTATTGGATTACATCATTTCTAAGTCTATGTTTTAAGTTTAAGTGGTTTAATGGTGTCTTCAAGTAATCTTTGAGAAATTAAAGATACAAGATCAAGAAACTGAAAGTACTGTGGACCTGGGCTTTACATGATTTGGCCTGTCATTTTTTTCCAATCTTGTTTGTATACTGCTGTATCTACACTGGCCTTCTAGTTCTTTAAAATAATAATCCCATTGCAGACTTTAAACTTTACTCCCATTGCATCCTTTGGGCCTTTTCATATATTGTTTCTACAGTTTGGAACACGGTTGGCTGGTTAATTGCTACTCATATTTTGGATCACTACAGCAGTGTCACTTTTTCAAGGAAGCCTTCCCTAATCTACCTAGTTTAACTCTCCTCCCATTATACATACAAATCCTTTTTCACTTTCACTAAATTGTAAGCTTGGACTATACTACAATAACTACACCTTTGTCACAGTTTTGTGGGTTTTCTGTTGTTGTTTTTGTTTTTCTTGTGATATGGAGATTGAACTCTGGACTTTAGGCTTGCTAGGTAGATGCTCTACCATTTCAGCCATGCTTTCAATCTGATTCATGAATTAATAAATTTGTTTTTTTGTTGGTTTTGGGGTTTGAACTCAGGGCCTGGGCACTGTCTCTGGGCCTCCTTTGTGCTCAAGGCTGTACTTTACCACTTGAGCTACAGCACCACTTCTAGCTTTTTCTGAGTAGTTTATTAGAGGTAAGAGTCTCATGCACTTTTTCTGTCTGGGCTGACTTCGAACCTCAATCCTCAGATCTCAGCCTCCTGAGTAGCTAGGATTACAGGTGTGAGTGAGCCACTAGCTCTTGGCATGAGTTTATTACATCTAGTTTTGACCAAGTGTGATACAAGGTAAATCAGTAAATAGAAAAAAGCAAAAGAAGCCGGTCACCAGTGGCTCATGCCTGTAATCCTAGCTACTCAGGAGGCTGAGATCTGAGGATTGAGGTTCAAAGCCAGCCCAGGCAGGAAAGTCTGTGAGACTCTTATCTCCAATAAACCACTAGAAAACTGGAAGTGGTGCTGTGGCTCAAGCGGTAGAGCACTCGCCTTGAGCTGAAGAGCTGAGGGGCCCAAGCCCAGAGTTCAAGCCCCACGACCCCCCCCCCCCAAAAAAAAAAAAGAAAACAAAAAGAAAAAAGAAATGTAAACAATTACATTTCCACTGGGTACTGGTAATCCTATCTACCCAGAAAGCTGAGATTTGGAGGATCATAGTTCAAAGCCAGCCCAGGCAAGAAAGTTCATGAGACTTGATCTCCAATTAACCAGCAAAATGCCATTTTAGAGAAAAGACTCAAGTGGTAGAGTACCAGCCATGAACATCATCTGAGTGAGAGCACAAGGCCCTAAGTTTGAGCCTTGGTGAAATAAATAAATGTAAATTTCTTCACATGCTTTATGCAGCTGAGTTGACTCAAGTTCTCAATCAGGCATTACCATAAGTTATGTTAAAATCAATGTGTTCTCCTGGTTCCCTGCCACTAAAATAGGTCTCCCAAAAGGCAAATGGTGCCCCCCAAATAAAGTAAACAATGATAATCCTCTCAAGCTGCCAAGGGCGTATGTTGTGCTTAATTTAAGTGATAGAGTGAACGTTTTAGATTCGTCTTTAGTGGAAATTAGTTGGCATTATGGGGAAATAAATCAAGCATCAGCAGTATTCAAGATGAAGAATATGAAATAAGATTTAGTCTTTGGTGAGTAGTATTTATGTATGCAACAGTAATTTTTTTGTATGTGTGTGCCAGTCCTAGGGCTTGAACTCTGGGCCTGGTCTCTGTTTCTGAGCTTTTAAAATGCTCAAATCTAGCACTTTACCACTTGAACCACAGCTCCACTTTTGGCTTTCAGGTGATTAATTGGAGGGCTGTTTTGCCCAATCTGTCTTCAAACTGTGATCCTTAGATCCCAGCTACCTGAGTACCTAGAATTCCAGGTGTGAGCCATCAACACCCAACATAAAAGTTTCAAGTTATAGATTCCCAGACCTACTGTACATACAGGTAAATTTGAATAATCTTAGAGTTCTGAACTCTGCATCCTGAACATTTGTCGTTTTTCCTCATTGGTGGTCTCCTTAGAACCATATATCTATGATACCCAAGGTCTACTGTTAAAGTGTCTAGCTTTTTCATTGTGTCTAGTATCAAACTACAATGCTGATACTTAGAAGTAGTCCATAAATTTTCCTTGATGGATGAATTCTTGCCCTTAGGTTGTTGGAAGGGAACACTCATTCATGAAGTTACTGAGGAACAGGGAAATGGATGAAAGAGGAAACACCAGCTCTTTCCCTTACTGGCCTCTCTGAACCCGCTATGGCCTTTTTGTCTTGTTCATCTAATCCCATAGGCACTGTAGGCCAATTTAGGGAATAGCCTCCTAATTACACAGCTTGAAGACCTCATCAGGCAGATTGCTTTTCAGAGCCAGCCACTTCTGTTATTAAATATCAAATGGTATTCACAAAAGAAGTACCTGATTGGCTACCAAAGCATCTTCTATGGTAGGAGGAGGTAGTAACAGCATAATTTTTTCTTAGGAAGTTGGAATATATCTCCAAAACATCTTTGCCATTTTTCCAGGTTGAAATTCTCTGGGTTTTGAAAAAGCTTAACAAGCACTGCAGCAGAGAGGTTCATATTTATAGGGACAGAGTGAGAAAGTGTGAGTTACATTGTCTTTTAAATTTCTTTATCTCATCTGGTGTATATATTAAATAAATAGCTCTAACTAAACATTTCCTTCCTCCAGCTTACAAGCTGTCCATGGAGTTTTCAGGTTCATAACTTCAAAATGCTGAGCTAATCCTCTTTCTGTTTATATAATCCTTTTTTGTTTCACATACAAGTTGGCTTTCTTTCCAAATCAGAGTATATCTGTGTCATGCTGCAGTGACATGATGCAGATTTGCATGTAAAATCTTTTTTGAATGCATTGAGGACAAAAAACTGTGTTGCATTTGTTTAACATATGTCCTGATTGATAAATGATACACACAATTGCTGCCTTCCATAAACTTGTCCAAAGCTAGAATTAATGATGGGAAAAGAAGGGAATGTAGCTACAATATTATTTGAACCAAACAAAGCAAATACAAGAGAAAATTCTGCATGCTCTGTTCTTGTGGAGAGGAGACAGCTACTAATGTGTGTTGCCAGTCAATTTCTCATATTTTATTTCACACGATCAATAAAATTAGCATTATTGTTCCATTTTATAGATGTAGAAACAGGCTCAGAGAAGTAAAGTGTCTCTCCTAGATTCATACTGTTTTTGCATAGTTAAGATTTGAATGTAGCTCTTTGAGAACAAAGCCTATGCTTCTTTTACCATTCATAATTCAATATGTATTTTGGGGAATTCATTGATGATTGAGAGAGATTAGATCTGTTTTCATAGACTTTGCATTCCTGGGATTCATTTGGATACAGAGGACACAGAAGGCTAGTAATTGATATGGTAATTTACAGAATTGAGCTTGATTTCAAATTCTCAAGCTCTTGTTCACCTGTCTACAAGTCTGTCATATTTTGCTCTTCAGCATAGATAGCTTAAGAAGAGCAATGTCACACATTGCTAATTAATCATAGCCCTCTTTTTTGTCTGACCCCAGTTGGAATCAGTGATCTTTCTTAATACAGTACTCTAGTATCCATAACCAGTGGTTCAGGGCTGCCATATGAGAGTAATCAGTTAGCCTTGCAATGCTGGTGAGCATCCTCCTTCAGTGAGAGGGTAAAGGCTAAGATAAGGGATAGAAATTCTATATGTATGTGTGACCCATGAGTAGTTCAGGTTTGTGTTGAGGAAATGACTAATTTCCTGTGAGGGTTTGCATCCTACCATGCCAACTTAGAGTCTATAGACCTAGAATACATTGGGTCAGCTACTTCTTACAGTAAATTTCTTTACAAAAATGAAGCCTTGTATTTTTCTCTATAAAAAGACATGAAAAAGTTAACAGTATAAAATCAAGTTTGGGAGGTTATATAGATGAAGTAAGGAGATGACTTTTTCTGATAGATTTAAAACAGATCATTCTTTCAGTAAGCTTTTACTGAGCACTTAGCTTGTACCTGTCACTTTGCCTTGTATTTGGAAGTTGTAAATACTGAAATGCAGTTTCTGCCCAGCTTAGTGTCACTAGTGAGTGTTCCTGTGCCCCCAAGGGAAGGTTATATGAAACTACTTGGGCCAGACTGTGAAAGGTGGTGGTGATAGTAGTGGTACATTATAGCAATGTCTTACCAGCTGTGGAGGGAGAAGCTGAAGAAGAGGACTGGGAGATTTGAAATCAGGCTCTCCTTCAAAGTGGAGATTTGTCATTAACTTTGTAAGTTAGTGTTTAATTTTATTAAGGATGATGGTGGTTCTCATGCAGAGGAAAATCAATTTCATTTCTTTATCCTGTTAACTTTTATTTACTTTGGTCATATCCTTTATACACCAGACTTAGTTCTATTTTTTTTTTTTTTTTGGTTAATAGGAAATCAGCTTGTCATAATTTCTGAATACATTGAGCTTAGACAAAGTAACACCATTAAACTAAATCCATTCAAATCCCTCTTAACTGTCAGTAACTAGAAGTAAGATAGAAACCTTGTTCCATCTCTCAGATTCTAAGAGAAGACTGTGTGTATGCTTAGGGATTTGACTTTATCCTTTGGATTCCAATACACTTGTACATAATGTAAGCTATGCTTAGTTAACTAGAAATTCTTTCTTTCTTTTTTTTTTTTTTTTGGGTCTGGTCGTGGGGCCTGAACTCTGGGCCTGGGCGCTGTCCCTAAGCTCTTCAGCTCAAGGCTAGCGCTCTACCACTTGAGCCACAGTGCCACTTCTGGCTTTTTTCTTTTTGCTTATGTGGTGCTGAGTAATCGAACCCAGGGCCTCAGGCATGCAAGGCAAGCGCTCTACTACTGAGCCACCTTCCCAGCCCCACTAGAAATTGTTTCTAAAACTGATTGTCTCTGGTCAGAAGTTTCATTTGAAGCTTTTATTATTTTAGGCACTGGCCACAATCAGGTTCTATACATACTTAGAGTCTACACATCTATATGTGAACATTCTGGTTTGTAATTTTGATCTATGGTAATATTTTATATGAGTGTAAAATTAAGGTCACTTAACAATGAAATGTAAAGCTTCTTAGGCATCTTCTCCAAAATAAGAAAATGTTTATAAAATAAGGAACAGCTCATGCATTTAAAATGCAAAGTCAAATGGAGGAACTTAAGAACTGGTCTGTGAATCCAAGTATGTGAATTGGCTTTGGTCAAACCTAAGATTCCATTGCATTCCAGGTACAGCTACAGTGTTGCTCTTGGGTGAGGTGAGGTCAGTGTACTGATGTGCTAGAGAAGCCCTTCAAGCCCTTCAAGAATGTTAGTGTATCACCTAGGTGATGACAGCAACTCAGCCTTTTTTGGGGGTTTTGTGCATTCCATGTTTGTTTGTCCAGGACTGGAGCTTGAAATCAGTGCCTCCTACTTTCACACAGCTTTTCCACTCTAAACTGGTATTCTGCCACTTGAACTACTCCTCCACTTCTGGCTTTTTGCTGTTTAATTAGAGATAAAAGTCTTGAGGAATCTAATTTCCTAGGCTAGCTTCAAACTGACATCTCAGATCTCAGCCTCCTAAGAAGCTTACAATCATAAACATGGGCCAGTGGTGCCTGGCCTATTTTTAATAAATATTTGTAATTTGTTTCTGTAATGACTGAGTGGCAGGAACATAGCCTGATGAATTGCTTATGCTATCTCATGACTTGAGGTTTAGGTATCATGTCATCTCAGATCATGAATTCAAAGAGGTCACACTTATTGCTCTGAGTCAAATGGTTATCTGAGCTGGGATTTGAAATACGAGTTTTCTGACTCTAAAGCCCATGCTTTTTACCTTGATTCCATTTTACCTTTCCTGCAGCACTTAGCAGTGAGATTTATTATTCATTTGAAAACGTGAGTGCGTTTGGTATGAGTATAGATGTGAATGAGTTAAGTTTATTTATTCACTCTAAATCTACTTTGGTATATTTTGTAAATGTCAACTAGAGTTTTTAATGTATGAAATCTTTCATCTGTCCTTACACCAATCTTTGCACAGACTAGCCCTCCTCCCTTGAGAATTTCTTGTGGTTTTGATCTGTGTTGCCTCAAACTATTGAAATCTTTTCAAAGAAGCAGAGCTGTTTTCTTTTTATTTTTTCTTCTCTGTCTTTTTTTCCTTCCGCAATACACTGGTACCAGGAGTGGACATAGTTTGCTATTCAGCTTGATCAAAGCACTCTACACCAATGTAACTTCCTGATCTTACTGGTAACAGAACTAAATGTTTCCATGTTCTGCCAAGATGGGTTGCCAGTTATCGACAGAGGGCTCACATCTGGTAATAATTATTTACTAATTCTGTTTACCTTTTGATCTGGTTTTCAGTGTACAGCTGCAGCTATCAAGGCTATAAGAGAAAGTGGAATGAATCTGAACCCAGAAGTGGAAGGGACGCTAATTCGGGTTCCCATTCCTAAGTAAGTTTGGCTGAAATTTATGTATTTCAGTGAGATGAGGTGATTGTCTTTGGATGGAAACCAGTACCCTACTATATACTCTTAGGCCAGTAGCATACCTAACCTACATCTTTCATCCTAGCAAACCCATTTTAGATCCAGTTTACTGGTTCGGAAATATCTATCAAGTGTCTGTTATGTGTCACATACTGAACATTAAGCAGTAAGCTTAAGAAATACCTTGTCTTCATACATTCTGTTTAGAAAGTTAGGCCAAACAAGCAGATAAGGTCACTATAGGTAGTGAAATGCTTTGCGGAAAGAAAATTCCATGATGTCTGATAGAAGTGGAGAGGATGGTGGCAGGAGCACCTTGAGCCTAGGACGACTCTCTGGAGGTAACACTGCCGCTGAGAGCTGGATGGAGAGGAGTCATCAGCTTTGGGGAAGAGCATTCCCATCAGTGAACAGCATAAGGGCTCTAGGTCAAAAAAGGCAGCCCCCTAGCCCCCTTGACCAGCTATTTTTAGCTTGCTAGTTGAAGAGTTTTAGGCATTAAAACAGAATAGTGTTAATTCTATAAGAGTTTAGAACTTAAAGACTCCTATATGCTCTTTTTTTTTTTTTTTTTTGCCACTTTTGGTTTTGTGTGTTCATTCTGTTTTCTTGCTCATGTCTGGGGTTGTGCCTTTTGAGTCATATGTCCAGTCTAGCATTTTGTTGGTTAGTTGGAGATGGGAGTCTTGCAAGACTTTTCTACCCAGGCTGGCTTTGAACCATGATCCTTCAGGTATCAGCTTCCTGAGTTGCTAAGATTATAGATGTGAACTACTAGAGCCTGGTGTAGAACTCTTTTAAGTTTTAGTAAAATGTGTATTATGTTTTAAATTAAAAACGAAAAGACAACAGCATTCAGATAGAGGCAGAAGAGTCATGAGTTTAAGGAAAGCCTAGGCTACCCAACGAGATTCTGTCTCAGGAAAGAAAAGTAAAGAAAAAGGAAGACCTTGGTGTGCTTGAGAAAGAGAAAAACTGGTAAATCTAAAATTCTGAGAGTATTAGGAGAAGGAGGTTAGACTAGTCTGGGTTGGTGGATGGTAGAGGCTTCATAAGTGGGATTTGGACTTTATTCTAATTGTGATGGGAAGCCATTGAAACAAATGAGTGATCTGATATGGGCTTTAGGAGCAATTGGTTAATAGCCTGAATGTAGGGAACATAGTGGACATGAGAACAGTCAAGAGCCAGCTGTCCTGTCTAAGTGAGACAAAAGTCTGAGATTCCTGAGCAGAAGACTTAAACCTCTACTCAACACAACTATTTGTTGAATTAACATGTTGAGTCATTCAGCAAACATTAAGCATGAAGTACAAGCCAGGTATTTTCTCAGTTATGGTGATATAGCAATTAAAACAACAAAGCTGGACACTGGTGACTCAAACCTGTAATCCTGGCTACTCTGGAGGCTTAGATCTGAGGATCACAGTTGGAAGCCAGCCCTGGCAGGAAAGTCTGTGAGACTCTTACCTCCAGATAACCACCAGAAAACCAGAAGTAGAGCTGTGGCTCAAAGTGGTAGAATGCTAGCCTTGAGCAGAAAAGCTCAGACCCAACAAAAAAACAAAAACAAATTCCCTGTCCTGAAGCTTGCCTAACAGTGGAGTACATGTAGCATCTAGAAAAAGAAATACATACTACTGCCAAAAAATGAGTAATAATAACGAGAGAGGGATTTGGGGGCTCTATTATAGATAGGTCAAGAAGGAAGTGACATTTGAATGAAGGTGAATGAGTGAAACTTTCCAGTTAACAAGGAGGGAAGGAGTATAATCCTAATTAGGTTTCTCTTTGTACCTATGTTATCCTTTATTTCTTTAAACATATTGTCTGACTCAACACAGAATTCCTATCAGGTAGGTATTTTTCTGTATGAAATTTAGGACTAGAGAAGTAATAGTAGTGTGGCTACACTACTTAAGGCTACAAGCTTATTCTGAAGCTGGGATCTAAACCCAGGTTTAGTTGATTCCAAAGCCCCATGATAACATCAAGAATATTTATTTATTTATTTAGTTAGTTAGTTAAACTTAGAGACATGGTTTCTATGCATTCTAGCCCATCCTTGAAATCCTCTTGCCCTAGCCTGGTTGGGATTTTAGTGTGTACTACAATATCTGCAGTGAGAGTTACTAACACATAATAGGAACTTTCAACTGAACTTTTTTTCTTTTTGCCTTAAGGTTAGTAAATGGCTCTCTTATTCTTTTGTGTTTTCAATATTCTGTAAAGCCTAATTTATACTCTGTGTTGAAATCATATGAAGTGCAAGCAATAGAAACTGGTGTTTCAACAGCATACAGACCTGGTTCAAGATTAGTACCTATTTGATTAGTAAGTTCATTGATTTGCTCAGTCTGTCTTTGGAGAATGTGCGCCTAACAAGTTCTACTAGGGGCCTAAAGACCTGCTGTTTGCCTTTGTGGCCTTCACAGGCTGTGTGCCAGGTCTCTTGTTTATGTTACCTCCTTCTGACTTGTGGAACTTATTATGACCCACAGTGTATAGACCAAAAATAAATCCTTGAAATTCAGACAATGTCAGGGACTTCAGAAGATTATATTATAGATAAGTGGCCATCAGGATCCGAATCCTTTTTTCTATTACTTACTGGAAGTGCTAAGTGAATTATGGACATTAGAAACAAGATTTACAAGTGGAATAGATTGCAGTTAGCAGGTTAATTTTCTGCTTCATTTTCTGTCTGTGATAACTTGAGCAAACCATCTTACTTCCCTCAGCTGAGGTTTCAAAAATATAACAAGTGAAAGTGTTCTTCTAAGCTCTTGCAGGTCCCTTAGGAAACTCTGAAAATTCTCTATGAATTTATGTTATTTATTTATGTTAATTTTTTAATATTAAATTTATTTATGTTAAATAAATTTATGCTAAATGTACATTACTGACTTGGAGTTTTTCAGAGCAGTCCAGTTTTAGGTTACATGTTTTCTTCAAAGACTAGGTTGATAAAACATGAATCCCTCTAATGCCATCAAGAGTTCAGTGTTGTCCTTGGTATGTTATATGTAAGCTTGAAGGAACAGTAAGTTTAATTTGAATTTCTAAAGACATGAGGATTTGTTACATTATTTTTTGTCATATTTTATCTTGGACTGACAGGTGTAATCTAAGAGAAAGTTGACAGACCAAAACCGTCTGCTCCTGCAAACCTCATTTTTTATATACTTTGTTCCCTTTGACAAGGTGGTGGGGTCATGAGGCCTGTTGCTGAATTATGTGTTTGGTAGTATTCCAGATAAAAAATGAACGATCTGTTCTTTATTATGTAGACTGTGTCATGTGAAGGAATAAAAAGCTGATTTAGAGGAAGGGCACCAGGGCTTTTTATTAGGCTGTGGTAGTGGCTTCCGTATGACTGGGCATATCATCCTAGCAGTTGGCTGCTTTTTCAGTTCCTTATTTGTAAAGTAGGCGAATAGTACATAATGATGGGCAGGAATTTGGTGAGCTTAAGAGTGAAAATAATTAAATAGTATGATTTCCTTAAAGAAACTGTGCAAGTGTAGAGTGGATCATGATTTCAGTAAGATGAATTTTCTATTTACTTACAATTTTAGGAAAAAAGAAAGATGTAAGAAAGGGAGTTAACCTGCTAGAAACTTTCTTTCCCTGACATATACAGGGAAAGACAACAGTATGGTGGTTAAATTTCTGTCTTGGTGTCACATTGAATTGAGTTCCAGCTCTTAAGCTTTTTAGTTGTATGAGTCTCAAACCCCGTCTGCAAAATTAAAACTTATGGAATTTGTTTTACATAATTATTAGGGAATTTCATTGTGCAAATAATCTGCAGGAAGCTTTTGATGTTTATTAAACACACAATGTTAGCAAATGTTCTATTGCTTTCATTTCCTGTCACAAATAGGTAAGAGCATCATTCTCTTTTAGAGATGAGGAACTGAGATTCAGAGAGGTAAAGTATTAGTCTTGGGCCACACAGCTGGAAATTGTTGCCAGTTTCTCTTTTTGTAGCTTCTGTAGATCAGTTCTGAGTTGTTGAGTCTGTCTTGTCTCTCTTCAGGCAAAATACTATTGAGCCTCAGAGACTGGCTTATATTCTTCCCCACTAACTGTGGATGTAGTTTTACTTTCTTCTCCAGCCAGTGTTTTTATTAAGATAAGGCAGTCAGCTGAATGAAACCTTTGAACATTCCTTTTGAGATTAGCTAAAATAGTTTCTTTTACTTTTCTTTCCTATTTATGCAATCACATTTGAGGTACCATTTACTAACCATTTACACTAGAGGTTCTGCAGATTCTGTCCATACTATGTGGTTAGGAGTCTGGGATTTGTTGTTGTTGTTTTGTTTGTGCTAATCTGGGACTTGAACTCAGGGCCTGGGTGCTGTTCTTGAGCTTTTTTTGCTCAAGACTAGCATTCTGCCACTTGAACTCCACTTCCAACATTTGGATGGTTAATTGGAGATATGAGTCTCAGGGACTTTCCTGCCTAGGCTGGCTTGGACCTGTGATCTTCAGATCTCAGTCTCTTAGTGCCTGATGTTGGAGTTTGTTTTGAGTCTCCTCTGATGGATGAGGTGCCTGTAGTTCTCAGATGTTAAAGCTTGAGATCACATTGCTGAAAGTGGCCCAAGTGGGGTCAGAATGGATTCTTTGTGACTGCTTTTCCTTCTTTCTTTTTTTAATCTTTTGATAGCAGCCTTTCTTTTCTTAATCTGGACTTCTGAAAGGTTTTGAGGTGTTTGCTTTGATTGGTCCATTTCTGCCTCTATCTTATTCACTTCTTCATTCTGCCCTAAACTACACCAAGTGGAGAATCTGGCTGCTTTGGTTTGAATCTGCTATTAAGTTCATGTCTAGTTTTAAATAAATGCTGTAACAAAATGATAAATTCACTCAAGAGATAAAAGTACATATGATTAATTAACATCCTTTCAGTTTATATCTTTTGTTGATTGTCCTGCTATTCTTTTTTTTTTTTT